ATCCACGGATTGTCCACGGATGTTGAGTCACAGCTTGACCACATCACATCCTTGTGCTATGCTTATTATGACATATTTAATAGAGTTTTGGCCTGTAAGACTCGGCTGGTCATTTATCAAACCTACTTGTCCACGACTATTCTGATCTGTTGAATACATCTGTTCCAGAAGATTATAGTTCCAAGAGGAAAAACTATTATCTGAGAAGTAATTGCTAAATCTTGGTTTATATTTGCAGCAATGTAAAAAGCTGTAGTGATGTAAAAAGCTGTTTTCAGTACTCGTTTATTTTGGACAGGCAATAGATAGCAGGGCTATGTCACAGCTCTGGAAGGAAATATTTGCATGAGAAGGGTTTAGGAAAACACTTGTAGTAGGAGTAGGTAAATCAGCTAAGATGGAGCAATGACATACACCATTTTACAAGTAAATTTAAAGAACAGCCTGGTCTCTTTTGCTTGCTTTTAAGTACAGAGACACACAAACTCTGTTTCCGTTCAGAATTTTACTTCATTTTTGTCAAGAAAGGTTAATAAAACAAGGCCATTAAAATAATTCTCCAAGAAACTTTGGTCTCATGGTGGCTTTCAGCCAGTTGGATTCAAGAACTGCAAGAGACTTAGTGAAAGAGTTTTTATGTAATAATTATAGCTGGGTTTCCAGACCAAAAAGCTATAGCTAATAGGTATGAACTTCTAAGTTACGGTTAAAGTCTCATTTGACAGCAATGCTGCAGTATGTTTAAAAGACTAAAATTTCCCCTAATTATTTCTGATTATATAATAAAGTTTCCTGGGATTTGGTTGGGTTTTTTTGTTTGTGTTTTTTTTTTTTTTTTTTAAAATAAGCTCCCTGCTCATTGAGACTCCTGCAATCTTTGACATGCAGCAGGATGGCACCTGTGCCTACCACATTTGAGAACAGTGACTTTGACAGCCCATTGGGAAAACAATTTACCTGCGTTACTAACCCCGGTGCTGTTTGATATGTTCTCCAGAGCCTTCCTTCAGCCTGCCTTTGTGAAATCTGTCCCCCACTGCATTTCCTTGCTGCTTCAGGAACTTTTCACCTTTTAGAAAGCCCCTGGAAGTTGACTTTCCTGACTCAAAGTCTCTCCTGTCTTCCTTCCCCCACCCCAGCTCTTCTCAAAACTCAGCTGAATGTATTTTTTCTTGCTTGCAGCTGGCTATTACTTACTCCATCCATTATTTACCTTACAGGAGGGTTTTTATTCTGCAGTCATCAGTGGTTTTACAGGAACCACAGCTCTGCCCATGTGTATTTAGAAGATATTTCTAATGCTAATGCAATGTATTCCCACATGTGTCTTTATTAACTGATACTACAGACCTCAAAATAAGCATAGTTGGGTTATTAATTATTTATGAATAATGCCATCAAATGCTTTGCCATGTATTGTTCTTGCTATCATTATCATCATGTGTATAAGAACAAAAAGTATTAAAGTATTTAAAGTATTAAAGAAAAAGTTACTGAAAGGAAACTCTGACAGCTCTGACAATTGGACTTGGACTCTTCAAAGTTTTAAGTGTTTCCATGCGTGTAACCCCAAGAGTCAGGAAATACAGAAGGAAAAGTTCTAGGAGGTTGTACAGTACCTGTGATGTGCTTTATATGTACGACTATCATACTTCACAAACATTCCTGTCAAGCCACAAGTTTAAACCAAAATGTGTATGAAAGAAGGCGGCATCTGTTTGTAGTGATGTTTGATTCAACT